TTTTTTTTTTTTGAGACGGAGTTTTGCTCTTGTTACCCAGGCTGGAGTGCAATGGCGCGATCTCGGCTCACCGCAACCTCCGCCTCCTGGGTTCAGGCAATTCTCCTACCTCAGCCTCCTGAGTAGCTGGGATTACAGGCACGCGACACCATGCCCAGCTAATTTTTTGTAGTTTTAGTAGAGATGGGGTTTCACCGTGTTGACCAGGATGTTCTCGATCTCTTGACCTCGTGATCCACCCGCCTCGGCCTCCCAAAGTGCTGGGATTACAGGCGTGAGCCACCGCGCCCGGCCTAGAAATTCATTTTCTAAATGCTCCCTCATCATGAAATTTTAATGTGACAAAAGCATTGCATATATACTGTATGCATACATATGCCTTATACATAAACAGAGTAAGAATTTTTTTTTGACTGTGTCGCATGCACGTTTTAAGAGTATAAGCTTTGGTATCTGATTGATTTGGGTTCAGATCCTTGACTCAGACTTCTTAGGGTTTTTAATGGGAATAAAAATTGTACAGCGTTGTAAGAATTGCCAACAATATAAATAAAGCATCTGGCGTTTATTAAATTCTTGGTAAATAGTGGGTTGGTAAATGTAACCTCTTGGGAAACTATCTCTACCTTGATGATTTTATACACACACAATATGAACAACAAGGAATATGCTTAGATGTATTGAGAAAGAGGTGAGTCTGCAGCACTGTCACAAAGGTGCACAAATACTGAGAGACTACTGAGGAAATGGTCCCCATCAGTGACTCTCAGGTGAGAACAGTGGGCCTTGGGTTTCAGCACAGCCTGGGCAATTGGAATGCAGGGCCCCTAAGATTCCATGACACCCCCACCTTCTAATTCTGTTATTGCAACTGCAGACGGTTACCTGGCACGCTGGCTCTGACCTCCCTCACTCTTGTCAGAGGCAGAGCTACAGGCAGTGTCTTCGGCTCTGAGCTCAGGCATCCTAAACGCTGTTTTTGCTGTTAAGGATTCTAAAGTGCTGTGGGGTGTTGATTAAGTTCTTCACAACCGTAAGTCAACAATTCCAGCTGTTGTCAACCCTCAGTCCTGACTAAACCTAGATGATTTCACTAGTTCTTGATTCATCATGTGCTTGGGTTTCTTTCCCCCAGTCCCTGTTTGAACTCTCCTGACGCAAACATCAGCATAGTGGTAACTGCCGCTCATTTGTTCCATGACAGGGCAGAGATGAAAATCCTAGAAATCAATGACGAATTGCGCTCCAAGCTTGCAGATAGCCAACGGCAATTTGAAGACCTCAAGGAGAAATTTCTTATAAGTCAAGCTACTGCCTACTCTCTGGCCAAGCAACTCAACAAATACAGTAAGTTCTACAGATTCAACATCACGAAAGTGATGAATCAGCACCTGTCTTCTCTCTGAGATACTGAACAGTCTCTTCATCAAAATTAATTTCATCCTTTCCTTAGTTCTAGGAAAACATAAATGGGTATTTTCACTTCATTGTGTTAAGGATGGAAAACAGAGGCACAACGTATTTGGTAACTTTCCACGTTAGCAGTCTGATGTGAGGTGGGACCACAGTTAAAATCCTGCTTACTGACCTCTGACACAGGCACAGAACCACTTGCTTTTCTCAGCAAGATGCTCAATCATGTTTACGAGAATGCTCTCTGTACCCTAGAAGATCCTGCAGACAAATAACATCTAGTCTGTTGGTCTAAAGGCCTGGAACTCATGAACTGCCATTCCGTTTAAGCTTCTTTGGGACCCAATAGGCAAATCTCTCTTCAGGGAACCCCGGGCAAAACGTAGCAATAATACAGACTACCTGCTCTAAGGAGCTTAAAGAGGAGACTGCTCCCAATACTAACGGTGGCATCCATAAGTAACAGCATGAAGAGCAGGCAGTACCCTGGGGAGAGGGAAGTCCTGCTTCCTGGGGCACAGGCTCTTTCTGTAAAGAGGAATAAAGACGGCATGTAAGACATTGGGGAGGTAGCAGTGTTGTGTGCAGAGCAGGAAGCTTGGGCCAGTCTCCTGGGCTCCATCCAAGTGGCCTATATTCTCTGTGCCTCAGTTTCCTCATCTATTCATTGCCTATTATAATACCTAACTCTCTAAATTGCTGCAATAAATTACATGACATGTTTCTTCTAAATCTCCTAGAACAATTCTTGGCACAGAGTAAACACTATCTATCAGTTCTTCATCCTACTGTTTCTAACTTAATTCAAATATTTTTAGTATTTCATCATATTTCTATGATGGCCTCAGGATCTTATGCCTCATATTTTATGCAATTATATTCAGATATGATTTTTTAAATCATTTGATATACATATGCTTGAAATTCCCAGTACCAGGGAATCCGTGAGTCCCATAGTCCTAAGGGCCTTTCCTACTATACAAGATATCACTGCTTCATGTCCCAGTAGAGTGTTTGACAGGAGAGGCTGCAAGGCTTGGGAAAGTGTCCCAGGATTCATAGCTAGACCTTGGGGGCTATGAATTCTGACTCTGCCTCATCCCAGGTGAATCATCCTGTCAAGTTACTTGATGTATCATTGAGTTTATTTTTCCCATCTTTAAGTTGGAGAGTGTCAGATGCCAGCAGGTTGGGAGGTTGATAATAACAAATGAAAAAGCACTCGCTACAATCTTGTACTGGGGATGCTTTTGTCCTTGGTATAGACACTTCCATCTGTCCTGTGGGCAGTGACCACAACAGCCTGTCCAGCCTTCCGCTGAGGCAGGCATGACTGTCTCTTCTCAGAGTGTGAAGAGGACAAAGACATCATAGACTCTGTGCTGAGGGATGAAGTGCAGTTCATAGAGGAGAAGCTGGCAGAGAAGCTCAGGTAAGCTGAGGAGCTCAGGTGAGCAGATGCCGTGGGGACAGGCAGGTGGGCAGGAATGTGATCTCTGAGGTGCAGCAGTTCAGCTGGGAGAAGCAGGAGCTAAGCTGGGCCAGGACAAGTGCAGGCATTTACATGGCAGGCATATTTCACACACACACTCAGAAAACAGAACAGTAATCTTAGCAAGTTATGGGTTGCAGTTGTTTCTTGAGCTTTGTTTTCTCTTCTTAAAACAACTAATTGTTGAGTTGAAATCTGCGTATCCAAAATTCATAAAAAGAAAATGAACCACCCAGCAGCATTTAATACTCTCAAAATAGTGTGTGATCACCACCCATTTACTATTAGTCAGAGTCACCTCCGGACTGACAGTTTAGGACTCCTGAGCATCCTAAGGATGTTTCTCCTGTTAAAGACTCTAAAGTGCTGTGGGGTGTGATTAAGTTCTTCGCAACTGTAAGTCAACAATTCCAGCTTTGTCATCACTCAGTCCTGACTAAACCTAGTTGATTTCACTAGTTTTTGATCCATCATGTGCTTGGGTTTCTTCTCCCCAGTCCCTGTTTCAACTCTCCTGACACAAACATCAGCATAATGGTAACTGCCGCTCATTTGTCCCATGACAGGGCAGAGATGAAAATCCTAGAAACCAAGGAGGAATTGCGCTCCCAGCTGGAAGAGAGCCAACAGCAGTTTGAAGATCTCAAGGAGAAATTTCTTATAAGTCAAGCTACTGCCTACTCTCTGGCCAAGCAACTCAACAAATACAGTAAGTTCTACAGATTCAACATCACGAAACTGATGAATCAGCACCTGTCTTCTCTCTGAGATACTGAACAGTCTCTTCATCAAAATTAATTTCATCCTTTCCTTAGTTCTAGGAAAACAAAATGGGTATTTTCACTTCATTGTGTTAAGAATGGAAAACAGAGGCACAACATATTTATCAACTTTTCCACCAGGGACTCCATGAGTCCCAGAGTCCTCAGGGCCTTTGCTACCATACAGGATATCACTGCTTCATGCCCCAGTAGAGTGTTTGACAGGAGAGGCTGCAAGGCTTGGGAAAGTGTCCCAGGATTCAGAGCCAGACCTTGGGGGCTATGAATTCTGACTCTGCCTCATCCCAGGTGAATGATTCTGTCAAGTTACTTGATGTGTCAATGAGTTTCTTTTTCCCCCATATCTAAGTTGCAAAGTGTCAGATGACAACAAGTTGGGAGGTTGATAATAAATATTGAAAAAATCCCTCACTACAATCTTGTACTGGGGATGCTGTTGTCCTTGGGATAGACACTGCCACCTGCTCTGCGGGCAGTGGCCACCTCAGCCTGTCCAGCTTTCCACTGAGGCAGGCATGACTGTCTCTTCCCAGAGTGTGAAGAGGACAAAGACATCATCGGCTCTGTGCTGAGGGATGAAGTGCAGTTCATAGAGGAGAAGGTGGCAGAGAAGGTCAGGCAAGCTGAGGAGCTCAGGTGAGCAGACACCGTGGGGACAGGAAGGTGGGCAGGGGTGTGATCTCTGAAGTGCAGCAGTTCAGCTGGGAGAAGCAGGAGCTAAGCTGGGCCAGGACATGGGCAGGCATTTCCATGGCAGGCACATTTCAGACACACACTCATAGAACAGAACAGTAATCTTAGCGAGTTATGGGTTGCAGTTGGTTCTTGAGCTTTGTTTTCTCTTCTTAAGACACCTAATTGTTGAGTTGAAATCTGCGTATCCAAAATTCATTTAAAGAAAATGAACCACCCAGCAGCATTTAATACACTCAAAATGGTGTGTAGTCACCGCCCATTTGCTCTTAGAGTCCCCTCCAGACTTACCGCAGCAAGTCATTCGTTCAATCAATGTTGCCTTCTTGACCTGCCATTCCCTTCTTCTTTCATCTTTCCAATTCACCCCATCTGCACCTGGCCACATTTCTCTGCACCGCCCTGTTTCCAGTCACTGCAAGATGCACTATGTGAATTTTCACATAGAAATTTCCATGGCCAAAGTGAGGAGCTAAAAGGACATCCCCTTGAAACTGACTTAAGAAGACAATGACTTTTGGTTACAGAAGAAATAAATGAATCTAAAATCATGGAGGATCTTACAGGAGCTCTCTCTGATATAGGGGAAGCCTTTGTGCATATAAGTACAATATATATGTATACATGTATATTTTAATGGAATCTCATTTCTGTCACCGAAGCCGGAGTGTAGTCACACAATCTCAGCTAACTGCAACCCCTGCTTCCAGGGTTCAAGCGATTCCCCTGTCACAGCCTCCTGAGTAGCTGGGACGACAGGCATGCACCATCATGCCTGGCTAGATTTTGTATTTTTTGTAGAGACAGGGTTTCACCATGTTGGCAAGGCTGGGTTTGAACTCTTGACCTCAGGTAATGTGCCTGCCTCAGACTCCCAAAGTGCTAGGATTATAGGTGTGAACCACCATTCCCTGGCAAATATACATATACACCTACCTATATATATATATATATATATATATATATATATATATATATGGTGTGTTTATTCATATATATATATATATATATATATGTATGTATGTATGTATATAGATGTTGTACACAGGCATTTCCCCAAACATGTTGTGACCTTCTACTTGTAAGGCTCCTTGAGGACATTCTCACATAACCCTCCCTTGCAGTATTAGAACTTATGACTCATCATTTTCTGTTATTAAACGTTCTCTGCTATCTCACCGTAGGCAGTATAAAGACCTGGTTCACTCTCAGGCAAAAGAGCTGACCCAGTTACGGGAGAAGTTACGGGAAGCGAGAGACGCCTCCTGCTCACTGTATCAGCATTTGAAGGCCCTCCTCACTCCTGGTGACCCTGACAAGTCCCAGGGTCAGGACCTCCATGTGCAGCTGGCTGAGGGGCACAGGCTCGCAGAGCATCTTGTCAACAAGCTCAGCCCAGGTAAGGTGGACACAGGCCCTAAGGACACACAGCCCCAGGCTTATAAAAGTCCCCAGACCTCCACACCTCCACAATGACACTTTTATGGGTAATGTCTCTTTCCACTAAATATTTGTAGCCATGACGTGACCAGGACTTCCTGGGCAAAAACAGAAATGTGTAACCCATGGGGTTGAAGGTCACAGGATTGCAAATGTCCCCTCATTTCTTGCTGGAACATGGTCTTTGGGGCAAGAGGCAGCATCTGTCCAGTTTTAAAGGACAGGAAGGAGGCTGTGACAGGAGGAAGCTTGTTAGAGTAAAAAGAGCCCTGCACTAAGAATGAAGGTTCCCAGGCTCTATCTTCAGCAATGACTTTAACAACTGTGAGGAACTGATTAATTTATCCATCCTGAGTTCCTGTCTCTAAATCTGTAAAGGCAGACCAACTGTCTCTTGCAATCAAATGTGGAAACACTTACGACTATATTTCATGATGAGATAAAGCCCCTTGCTGTGTGGTGTTGGAGAAGGCAATTGATGTGGGGGCATTTGGTGGTAGGAAGTGGTCTAGACTGGAGCACCCCCCATGGAGAAAGTGTCCCTGGGTAGCACTGTGGAAGTCACTTGGAGGGCCCATGATGTCCCCGATGTATGTGGGACATGAAGTCCCCGGAGTATTGTGGGACAAGTTTGTTTGTCCTGTCCTAAGAGAAAGATACAGGTTGTAATGCAAGCTGTGACAGTATGCACAGCCTGTGCCTGGGTATCAGAAGAGTGGCAGGATTGGGAAGACAGCTGGTGAAGCTTAGAGAGAGGCAGGACAAGCCTCCAGTCATCTGGGGAGCAAGAAGTCTTTTCAATATTTGGCCTCATCATGATGGTGACCCTCCAGGTCAGAAGCACATTCCATCATGGGTCAGGAGAACATGCCAGGGCATATTTTAGAGATAAACAGGAGAGTTTTCAGTACAATGCAGACCCATACATGGATGTTCATGTCTCAGTGCACATAGGGCTGAGTGTGCTTCCAGTGGGTGAAGTGGGAAATATCTGAATAGACGCTTTTGTATTTGTAGAAAGTGATGAAGATGAAGATGAAGATGAAGATGTTACAGATGAGGAGGTCGAGGAAGCACAGCAATCACCTGCCCCCAGGTAACACTGAATAATCAGGAGCGGGTAATGGGTGGTAAAATATGAAAGAGATCTCAGAAAGAACACAGGTGGGTGAAGGTAGTCACAGATTGTAGATACAGGATACAGACAGCTGCAGAGTGAACTGATTTCATGTACTTATCAACAAGGAAATAACCCTGTTAACATGCTTGACTATTGTCTTCATGGCACCTGTAAGCATGACCCTTGATATCCTCACTAACCCTAGGGACTTCCTGCACACAGAGAGGGACCTGTCCTCCCCTGTAGTGAAGCCAGGATGAGATGGAAAGCCGCTTTCCTCATGGTTGTCCTTAGACTGGTGTTAGGGAAGATAAATAACAAACAGACAACAAGCAGAGGAATTAGGAAGCACCTACCAAAGTTAAACACCAAGAAAAGTGCACAGGAAAACTTTACATTTCACATCACAATGTTAGAGTAAAAAAACATCTACAAGGCACGCCACCTCCGGGGCCTACAAAGGCTCAGAAACCTGTATTCCCTTGACCACAGCATGTTTAATACAACCCAGCTTAGATGCACGGTGTGGCAGCTCTCTTTGGTTCTGTGTGAGTGCTGTGAAGACTGTACCATACAGAAGCAGCTGAGCCTCTGCCTTCCTCAGCTCCTGTCTGTCCAGTGCAATGAACCCCAGCTGCTCTCTTCCTCTCTGGTTCCCAAGGCAGCCGTGCTCTGTTGCAGATAGAGGAGGATTTCCTGTTCTGTCTTCAATGGAACCTCCCCTTTGCTTTCTGGGACCACTACCTTACGCCTCCCATCAAAACCAGCTGGGAACTCCTGGGCTCCAATCCCTCATGGTTTAATGTTTGTCATCTCTATCCCATCTGGCTCATCAGGGGGTTGCAGAATGCTGAGGAAAAGGAAGTACCTCAGGACTCACTGGAGGAATGTGCTGTCCCTCGTTCAAACAGCCACAGCGCTTCTGACTCCAACCAGCCTCTCAGGAGTGCCAAAGTCACATTTGAGGGAGACAAAGTCGACCCTGCTCTGGTTGTAGATAGTGAATGCTCTCAGGATGAAGGGGAGGAAACTCCAAACTTTCTCCCAGGTAGCCTCTATATTCTTTGTCCCTCATACCTCTGTCTAGGCTAAGGAAGATCAATTCTGAGGACAGGCTGTATACAAACCTATTGATTTGAATTGGAAACTAGGATGAAGCTGTGGGCAGTGACTCACATCTGTAATTTCAGCACTTTGGGAGGCCCAGGTGGGTGGATTACTTGAGTTCAAGTGTTCAAGATGAGCTTGGGAAATGTGGTAAAATCCATCTTTACAACGGATACAAAAAATTACCCAGGCAAGCTGGTTCACACCTGCAATCCCAACTACTCCAGAGCATGAGGTAGGAGAACCATCTGTGCACAGGAAGGTGAGGCTGCAGTGAGGCATGACTGCACCACTGCACTCCACCCTGGGTGACAGAGAGAGACGCTGTGTCAAAAGTAAGAGAAGGAAGGAAGGAAGAAAGGAAGGAAGGAAGGAAGGAAGGAAGGAAGGAAGGAAGGAAGGAAGGAAGGAAGGAGGGAGGGAAGGAAAGAAGGCTGGAGGGGGAGTGAAGGAAGGAAGAGAAGGAGAAAAGGAGGGAGGGGAGGAGAGAGGGAGGGAGGGAGGACTAGGATGGAATATTTAATATAAATACAAGAGGGTCAGATAGCTTTCCAATTCTCCCTGGCCCCAATATCAGGAAAGTGGGCCATAGGCAGGTGGGACAAGTTCATAGCCACCTGTGTACAAAAGGTGTACAGGAGGTATCTGTCATGCTGCCTAGCTCAGTTCCAATGTCTCTTGTCACCTCTAATGATGTAATTTGTGCCCCTGCACAATGTCCATGGAGTTGCTATGCTTGTCCAAAGACACTGTCGAAGACAGCCTTGTCCATATATCTAACGATGTTGTTTCCCTGGTGTCATTCTTTTCAGCGTCAGTCTTGGTCTCCTATGAGTCAGCTTGTCTTAGCTAGGCAATCACCCTGATACCAGAAGAAATATAAATTTCTCTTAGATTTCAACCACCAGAATATATAGTGAGATAAATCAGTATTGCAGCAACACTTCTGAAGAATAGTTAGGGCCATTTTTGAAGACCATGGGGGAAAAGTTTTGTTTAACTGTTTACACAGAGTTAGGTCAGAGGATATGTGATTAAGATCTATTAGATGAGGGGGACTCTGTCCCATGGGTCTGGAAAGTAGGCTCATCTACTCCTGAAAAGACTTGACCTAGAGCACATTAGAATCTTCCTGTCAGAATATCACATTCTTACACTGAGGATATTGATGTCGCTGTGCTATGACTGGACACTGATTTGGTCTTATGTGAAGGGTGATTTGCTTACTGTGACCTGCTCTTCTAAATTTCTTTACAGGGAATCAAAAGGATCATGAGGAAGAGGAAGGGAAAGCTCCAGTGTCCCCAAGGTAACTGTGGACTTGTGGGCCGTTAGCTCAATATTGACACCTGGAGACCACGGATCCAGGAGAAAATCAGATGGGAAGTGATGAATAGAACAATCTCATCTATACATCCAACTGCAAATCACCCCTTTAACAAAGTTGTCTTCTTTATTGTGGTACTTAAATAGGTTTCATTTCCTATTCACTCTCAAGCATAGAAACCCACAATCAGTTGAGCCAGGTGAACTGTACAAGCTCAGAGATTTCCTGATCTCACCTTATGTCTGCCTCTTTGGCATTACCATGTTTGCAAGTATTTGATAGTCGGAAAGGGAATGAAACTAGCTCATGTCATGCTCACAGTTTTGAGAACAAGTGATGTTGAGGATAAAGGAACTCTTTCTGTGAAGATTCAAGAACCTGTATTCAATTGGCCTCTGATACTAGTTTCAACAAAATGCGTGTAGAAGGGCTGAAAGCACTGTGTCCTGGCAGTTTTCCACAGGGATCCCTCCATCTCATTACACTAAAGCTCATTGTCTGCACAGTGCACTGAGCACATGCCGCTGTGCCTCCTGCTTGAGACAGGGAAGGATGGTTATGTCTCTCTGAGGGCACTGTACTTGTCTTCCTCTGGCCTCTCCTGTGGTCCTCCCTATGGAACCAGCTAGCTGCATTCGTATTGGTCCTGTCCAGTGTTTATGCTCTGTGCTCTTTACTCCAGGCTGAGCCAGGAGCTGCCAGAGGTACAGGAGCAGGAAGTCCCAGAGGACTCCTTGGATGAAATTTACTTGACTCCTTCAGTTCAACGTGACATGTCTGACTGCCACCAGCCTTATAGCAGCACCTTGTGGTCATTGGATGATGAGCTCACATGCTCTGCTCTGGATGTAGCCTGTGAGTACTCCAGCCTGAAGGTCACAAAGCTCCAGTGTCTTCCCAGGCAGCCTCCACATGTTTTCTTTCTGCATCTTGTGCTGCTGAGACAGACTGTCAATGCAACCAGGTCATCTACACTGAGCCTGTTTTCAATCGGGCTCTGGGACCCAGCTATGATCATGTACATCCAGAGGATGAAACTTCCTCTACTCTTGTCCAAAGTAACTCCTCTGTCACCTGGCTCCTTCTTACAAGAGCAGGCTGTGGGCATGAAAGCTGGAAAGGGGTTAGGGCTTTTAGCAAGTTCTTGCCCACAGGAGCTCATCTAGATATATTGGCACAACAAATCTACTTCTTTAAGATCTGGAATCTCTCCTTTCTGAAATTAAGTTCCTAACTACATGCCTTCAACAGTGTCATTATATCTTCTCTGGACACCCACACATGCAGGGCAGTTTTGCACAACTATGTCACATTAGGGACACCTAGCCCTGGAACCTCAGCCCATGTCAACATCCACAGTCACACACAGGAAAGGTGACATCATCTGCTTTTACCTGATGTCTGTCGGCGTGGCCTAGGTCAGTGAAAGACTTTAGAGAGAAGCAGGAAAAGCAGGGATAGGTGTCTAGGAGCACTAAACAAGGGAAAACTGAGACCGTTCCTACTGAAGCCCTTTCTCCTTATAGCTCCCACCCAGGAGACCTGTTCCCAAGGGACTTGACGTGGAGACTTGAGCTACTACCTATCAGAGGTGCAGGCTTCACAGACAGAGCTGGAACCAAGTACTGGGTTGCCAATTTCTCTGGGACTACATCTGGATCAAGGGTTCGACTGTGGAAATGGCTCAGCCACATGGGGCCTTTCCTCCACCACCTGCAGCTTCACAGCCAATGCTGATTCTGGGACCCAATGTCCCTTTCAAGGTAAGGAAGGAAAGGGGATAGGAAGCTCTAATCCAGATCTTGGTGGTCTTGGTGCTATGAGTTTAGGAGAGAATGGGGCCTCTTCATGCTCACTCAGGGTCCAGTTGAAATCCATGATGCTCCAACCCAGTGAGGTGAGAGCAAGCCTGGGGCTTAGGACAAAATCTGCTCTCAGGTCGTAGGTTTGCCACTTTCTGGTGGTTCACTCTCGCCAAGGATTTTGTCTTTTGGGGATGTAAATCTCTGTTTCCTCATCGGAGCTACCTAAAAAATAGTATCTACCTGTAATCATTGTTGAGAGTATTAATTACTATATTTTCCAAAGGGCCTGATTCAGTAACAATTGCTCGATAAACCTGTAAATACCTCTTATCTAATCCACTTGTCTTTCTGCCAAATTTACATTTAGAAAGTGACTTCACAACTATGCCTTCTCTGAGGTAGAGCAATTGTGATGCTCTCTGTTTTCCAGAGGCCCCTCTTCCCTTTGTTTCTCACACATACTCCTCTGCCAGTTTGCTTCCTCTTCTTCCCATCCCTCATGAAACCAGATCTCCACTATCAGGCACTTTCAGTGACAATCTATGAGGCACATTCAGTAACAGTGTAAATCCTGGGCCCACAAGTCAGTCTCATCACATGTCCAGCTCCTTCTTCTCAGTATTTTCTGCTGTTTTTGAAAACAAAGGGCAACCCCCAAGTAGAAAGTATTCACATCAGTCTCTTTTATGAAAATCCATTTAGTTCATCACCTCTACTCATGTCCATGGCCATGTCCTCAGTTTCCATCTCACAGAAATCACTTCTGCTCAGATTTCCTTAAAACCCTGGGCAGTGTTCATTGTCACTCTCTGTTCCTCTCAATATCTCCTCCTGGAGCCCCTGGGGCTGCCACATGCTGATTTGTCAAGTCATGCCCTCAGCAGAGGAATGAGGGGAGCCCTGTCGTCAGGAGGAGGGAGGGTCACGTGAGTAAATGGGCACTATATGGGCCCGTGGAGAGGACACATGTTAGCCGCTCAGCAGGTGTCAGGGGATGCGCAGTCCCTGACACTTGCCATGATAAGTTATTTAAACTGATTTCTTCCCACTGGAATCTCCTTTGCTTATCTAGCGATTCTCACAACGCCGGCCAAGAGTCACGCCACTGGCTCAGACACAGCCTCTCCTACTCACATTCCCTGGAGTCCAGAGCCTGATCAGGCTCCAGGTGAGAGGACAGAGGGAATGCTTTTGTCTCATTCATATTTTCCTTCAGCTGGTGATTTCTCCTGCTTTCTAATAGGACATTTGTTTCTCCCACACCTTTTCTTCCTCAGTGTTCTCATGCTTCTAATTATTTTTAATTTCAATAAACCAGAATAGTGATTATAATGTTAGGTTCAATATCTCCCATATTCCTGTATAATACATTTTCATTGGATTATGTAGAGATGTATAAATTGATGTCATTTATAACATATATGTATTTGGTGTGCATGGTACATAGGGTGTATATGTATATGCAATAGACCTTATAATGATTCCAGTTTTGTAAATGCTCCAGGTTTAGGCTTCAGGAGTTCTTTTCTCTCATCAGCTGCTGCAACCTATGTCTGGTCTCAACTCTGTGTCCCATGAGCTGCCACCCTGCCAGCCCCTTCCATCCCCATCTGCTCTTTAGACTCAGCTCTGATTTGACTTTCACTTTTTTAATCTCTTTCCTCCCCAAAGCACAGGCTACAGACAGGGGGTTTCCTTCCTTTTGCCTTATCTACCTTGAAGCTATTTGTGTTTCTTAATACTGCGTTTCTTGAATATTTTTGTGAATCAGGAGTGCCTTGGCCTCCTGACAAACTTGTCCTTTCTGGGTAATGGAAGAAAGATCAACAAAAAGAAAATATTAAAGTCACTCTATTGGCTTCCCCCACACTGGGGACTTTCTTGTCCAAGGACACATTCCTGATTTGACATCCTTTGATTGGAAGAGAAAGTCACAGTAAGATCATGGATGCCAGGGGATGCCATGTCGCTTTGTTTTCAGAACTGGTTTTAGAGCCCTCTGTTGGGAGGAAGAACCCTCCACAGCTGAAAGATGATGCACTCGAAGGCTCAGCGGACAACACACAATGGTCTCAAGTCACTGGCCACATTCATGCCTCAAGTGTTTGGAAACCCAAGATGATTAAAAGAAAACTCCGGTGCAGCAAGTGGATTCCCTACCCTCCACGCTTACAGTGCAGAGGTAATCACATCTGTGACTCTTAACTGCACTCACTTCCTATTTCTCTCTGTGTGTGGTGACAGCTCATTCTCCCTCTGCTTTTTCTCTTCCATTTTTTCTCTCCAGTGGCTGCTGTAATCATTGTCTGGTCTTAACTGTGTACCCCATGGTCTCCCACCCTGCGAGGCCTTTTCTGTCCCCATCTCCTCACTGCTCTCTGAACTCTGCTCTATTCCTTATTCTGCTATGTTGAGAGTCTCTCTCAGATCCAAAGGAGAGCCAGACCTCCTTGTCCTCATCCACATCCACAGTTTAAGCTGCTGAACACGGGTTTCTTTGACTGGAATTGCACACTCTCCTGGGAAATCCACCTTTCCTCCCAGCATCCCCAACTCCATTGTCTCCTTCTGCAGGGAGTATTCCTTAATGCATCATTTACACATAGGTTTTCCTCTTGTGTCTTCTTTGGAACAACACTACTAAGTTAACATTTAATTGTCTCTTGTTCATCTCAATCAGAGGTGTCAAAACTTAGCATAAAGAACCCAAATTAGAAAATGAAATTAGAACATGCGTCATGGGTGGGAGTTCCCTTTCGCCCTGAAATCAGGTTTGTCTTCAGCTCCAGATGTGCAGCCACTGCCAAGGTCGATGGAGTTGCTAGGGACTCGGTGTTCTCACCTCATGGAATCATTTGAGCTGACATTAGGTAGGGAGGGACTTCTAGGATTGAATATTTAATACAGATGTCGGTGGGTGAGAGAACTTTCCGCTTCTCCCTGGTCCCAATATCAGGTTACTGGACCACAGGCAGGTCGGACAAATTCATAGCCACTTGTGTACAGCAGTTGTACAGGTGGTAAATGTGAGGTCTCCTAGCTTGGTTCCTATGTCTTTTGTCACCTGTAATGATGTAATTTGTTCCCCTTTACAATGTCCACGAGGTTTCTGTGCTTGTCCAAGAACACTATCGAAGATAGACAGCCTTGCCTACATATATAACAATGTTGTTTCCCTGCTTTCATTCTTCTCAGCCTGTCTTAGTCTTCTTTGAGTCAGCTTGTCTTAGCTAGGCAGTCACCTTGATACCAGGAGAAATATAAGTTTCTCTAACAATTGATCAACCAGGATATATGACCAGATAAATCAGTATTGCAACAAAATTTCTGATGGGTAGTTATGGCCATTTTTGAATATCATGAGGGGAAAGTTTTGTTTGCACACAGTTAGGTCAGATGATATGTGATTAACATGTATATTACATGAGGGAGATTCTGTCACATGGGTCTGGAAAGCAGGCTCATCTACTTCTGACAAGACTTGATCTAGAGTGCGTTAGAACCTTCCTGTCAGAATATCACATTCTTACACTGGGAATATTGATGTCTGTGTTCTATGACTGCACACTAATTTGGTCTTTTGTGAAGTGGGATTTGCTTACTGTGACCTGCTCTTCTGAAATTTCTTCCAGGAAATCAAAAGGATCATGAGGAAGAGGAAGGGAAAGCTCCAGTGCCCCCCAGGTAACTGTGGATTTGTGGGCTATTAGATCAATTACCACCTGGAGACCACGGATCCAGGAGAAAATTGGATGGGAACTGATGAACAGAACAATCTCATCCATCCATCCAACTGCAAATTACCCATTTAACAAAGTTGTCTTCTTTACTGTGGTACTTAAGTGGGTTTCAAGAGATTTCTTGATCTCACCTCATGTCTGCCTCTTTGGCATTATCATGTTTGCAAGGATTTGATAGAAGGAAAATGAATGAAAGTAGCTCATGTCATGCTTACAGTTTTAAGAAAAGTGATGTTGAGGATAAAGGAACTCTTTCTGTGAAGATTAAAGAACCTGTATTCAATTGGGCTCTGATACTACTTTCAACAAAATGTATGCAGAAGTGCTGAATGCACTGTGTCCTGGCAGTTTCCGACAGGGATCCCTCCGTCTCCCTCCTCCCCAGCTCATTGTCCGCCAAGTGCACTGAGACCTGCTGCTCTGTCTCCTGCTTGAGACAGGGAAGGACGGTTAGGAAGTCCCTGTATTGGCTTCCTCTGACCTCTGCTGTGGTCCTCCCTATGGAACCAGCTGGGTGCAGTGGTTTTGGTCCTTTCCAGTGTTTATCTTTTGTCTTCTTTACTCCAGGCTGAGCCAGGAGCTGCCAGATGTAAACGAGCAGGAAGTCCCAGAGGACTCCTTGGATGAAATTTACTTGACTCCTTCAGTTCACCATGACCTGTCTGACTGCCACGATCCTGATAGCTGCAGCTTGATCTCATTGGATGATCAGCTCACATACTCTGCTCTGGATTTACCATGTGAGTACTCCAGCCTGAACGTCATACAGCTCCAGTGTCTTCCTAAGCAGCCTCCACATGTTTTCTTTCTACATCTCGTGCTGCTGAGACAGGCTGTCAATGCAGGCAGGCCATCTACACTGAGCCTGTTTTGAATCTGGCTCTGGGACCCAGCTATGATCACGTACATCCAGAGGGTGAAACTTCCTCTACTCCTGTCCCAAGTGACCCCTCTGTCACCTGGCTCCTTCCTACAAGAGGAGGCTGTGGGCATGAAAGCTGGAAAGGGGTTAGGGCTTTTAGCAAGTTCTTGCCCACAGTAGCTCATCTGGATATATTTACCCAATAAACCTTCTTCTTAATATCTGGAATCTCTCCTTTCTGAAATTATGTTCCTAACTACATGCCTTCAACAGTGCCATTATCTCTTCTCTGGCCACCCACACATGCAGGCTGTTTTACACAACTATTTCATTTCAGGGACACCCTAGCCCTGGAACCCCAGTCCCTGTCACTGTCCCCAGGCACAGACAGAAAAGGTGACATTGCTTGCATTTACATGATGTCTGTCCCTGTGTCCTGGTTCACTGGATGGCTTTCGTGAGAAGCAGGGACAGCAAAGATGGGTGTTCTGGTTGCATTTAACAATGGAAAACCTGAGACCGTTCCTACTGATGCCCCTTCTCCTTTCAGCTCCTACCCAGGAGACCTGTCTCCAAGGGACTTGCAGTGGATACTTGATCTACTACCTGTCAGAGGTGCAGGCTTCACAGGCACAACCGGAGCCAAGCACCCCAGTACCCATTTGCCTTGGACTACAGCCGGATCAAGGGGTCGACTCTGGGAATGGCTTTGCCAGGCAGGGCGTTTCCTCCACTGCCTGCAGCTTCACAGCCAATGCTGACTCTGGGACCCAATGTCCCTCTCAAGGTAGGAAAGGAAAGGGATTAGGAAGGTGTAATCCAGGTCTTGGTGGTCACGGTGCTATGGGTGGAGAAGAGACTGGGGCCTTTCCGTGCTCACTCATGGTCAAGTTGAAATCCATGATCATCCAACCCAGTGAGGTGAGAAAGAGACTGGGGTGTAGGAGAAAATCTGCTTTCAGGTCCTGCATGTACCTCTTTCTGGTTGTTCACTTTGGCCAAAGATTTTGTCTTTTGGGGATGTAAATCTCTGTTTCATCATCGGAGCTGCCTAAAAAATAGCATCTATCTGTAATCATTGTTGAGAGTATTAATTATTATAATTTCCAAAGGGCCTGATTCAATATCAATAGCTCAATAAACCTGTAAATAGCTGTTATCTAATCCACTGGCCTTTCTGCCAAATATACATTCAGAAATTGACTTCACAGAGGTAGAGCAATTGCCTTCTCTGAGGTTTAGCAGTTGTGACCCTCTCTGTTTTCTAGAGGCCCCTCTTCCCTTCGTTTCTCACACATACTCCTCTGCCAGTTTTCTTCCTCTTCTTCCCCATCCCTCATGAAGCCAAATCTCCAGTATCAGGCACTTTCAGTGACAATCTATGAGGCACATTCAGTAACAGTGTAAAGTCTGAGCCCAGGAGTCAATCTCATGTCATGTCCAGCCCTTTGTTCTCCCTATTTTCTGCTCTTTTTGAAAGCAAGGGCTGCTTTCACACAGAAACTATTCACATCATTCTCGTTTATGAAAATCCATTTAGTTCATCCTCTTCACTCATGTTTACAATAATGTCCTCAATTTCCAACTCACAGAACCCACTTCTGCTCAGATTTCCTTAATGACCTGGGTTGTGTTCATTCTCACTCTCCATCCCACTCAATATCACCTCCTGGAGCTTTTGAGGCTGCCTGCTCCTCATCTGTCAGGGGATGTCCACAGGTGAAGAATGAGGGTACCCCTTCAGGAGGAGGGATGGTCACATGAAATAACAAGCATTATCTGGGTCCATGGAGAGGACACATGGATGGTGCTCAGTGGTTGTCAGGAGATGTGAAGTCCCTTACAAGGTCCATGAGGTTTCTGTGCTTGTCCACGGCCACTGTGGAAGACAGCCTTGCCCACATGTTTAAAGATGTTGTTTCACTGCTTTCATTCTTCTCAGCCTGTCTTAGTCTCCATGGAGTCAGCTTGTCTTAGCTAGGCAGTCACCTTGATACCAGGAGAAATATAAGTTTCTCTAACAATTGATCAACTAGGATACATGACCAGATAAATCAGTATTGCAGAAACATTTTTTAAGGGTAGTTATGGCCATTTTTGAAGACCATGAGGGGAATGATTTGTTTGCACACACTTAGGTCAGGTGATATGTGATTAAGATTTATATTACATGAGGGAGATTCTGTCCCATGGGTCTGGAAAGCAGGCTCATCTACTTCTGACAAGACTTGATCCAGAGCACATTAGAACCTTCCTGTCAGATTATCACATTCTTACACTGGGAATATTGATGTCTCTCTTGTATGACTGCACACTAATTTGGTCTTTTGTGAAGTGTGATTTACTTACTGTGACCTGCTTTTCTGAAATTATTTACAGGAAATGAAAAGGATCATGAGGAAGAGGAAGGGAAAGCTCCAGTGCCCCCCAGGTAACTGTGGATTTGTGGGCTATTAGATCGATTACCACCTGGAGACCATGGATCCTGGAGAAAATTGGATGGGAACTAATGAACAGAACAATCTCATCCATCCATCCAACTGCAAATTACCCCTTTAACAGTGTTGTCTTCTTTATTGTGGTACTTAAATGGGTTTCAACTTCTTAATCCCTCTCAAGCATAGGAACCCACAATCAGTTGAGCCAGGTGAGCTGACCAAACTCAGAGATTTCCTGATCTCACCTCATGTCTGCCTCTTTGGCATTATCATGTTTGCAAGGATTTGATAGAAGGAAAGTGAATGAAAGTAGCTCATGTCATGCTCACAGTTTTAAGAAAAGTGATGTTGAGGATAAAGGAACTCTTTCTGTGAAGATTAAAGAACCTGTATTCAATTGGGCTCTGATACTAGTTTCAACAAAATGTGCACAGAAGTGCTGAATGCACTGTGTCCTGGCAGTTTCCGACAGGGATCCCTCCATCTCCTTCCTCCCCAGCTCATTGTCCACCGAGTACACTGAGCCCTGCTGTTCTGTCTCCTGCTAGAGACAGGGAAGGATGGTTATGAAGGCCCTGTATTGGCTTCCTCTGGCCTCTGCTGTAGTCCTCGCTATGGATCCAGCTGGGTGCAGTGGTTTTGTCCCTGTCCAGTGTTTATCTTTTGTCTTCTTTACTCTAGGCTGAGCCAGGAGCTGCCAGACGTAAATGAGCAGGAAGTCCCAGAGGACTCCTTGGATGAAATTTACTTGACTCCTTCAGTTCACCATGACCTGTCTGACTACCACCAGCCTTACAGTGGCACCTTGGCCTCATTGGGTGATGAGCTCACATGGTCTGCTCTGGATGTAGCCTGTGAGTACTCCAGCCTGAACGTCATACAGCTCCAGTGTCTTCCTAGGCAACCTCCACATGTTTTCTTTCTGCATCTTGTACTGCGGAGACAGGTTGTCAATGCAGGCAGGCTATCTACACTAAGCCTGGTTTGAATCTGGCTCTGGGATCCAGCTATGATCACGTACATCCAGAGGGTGAAACTTCCTCTACTCCTGTCCCAAGTGACCCCTTTGTCACCTGGCTCCTTCCTACAAGAGCAGGCTGTGGGCATGAAAGCTGGAAGGGGTTGGGGCTTTTAGCAAGTTCTTGCCCACAGTAGCTCATCTGGATATATTTACCCAATAAACCTTCTTCTTAATATCTGGAATCTCTCCTTCTGAAATTACGTTCCTAACTACATCCCTTCAACAGTGCCATTATCTCTTCTCTGGCCACCTACACATGCAGGCTGTTTTACACAACTATTTCACTTCAGGGACACCCTAGCCCTGGAACCCCAGTCCCTGTCAATGTCCCTAGGCACAGACAGAAAAGGTGACATTGCTTGCATTTACATGATGTCTGTCCCTGTGGCCTGGTTCACTGGATGGCTTTAGTGAGAAGCAGGGACAGCAAAGATGGGTGTTCTTTGTGCGTTTAACAATGGAAAACCTTAGACCGTTCCTACTGATGCCCCTTCTCCTTTCAGCTCCTACCCAGGAGACCTGTCCCCAAGGGACTTGCAGCAGAGACTTGATCTACTACCTGTCAGAGGTGCAGGCTTCACAGACACAACCGGAGCCAAGCGCCCCGGTGCCCAATTGCCTTGGACTACAGCCGGATCAAGGGGTCGACTCTGGGAATGGCTTTGCCAGGCAGGGCCTTTCCTCCTTTGCCTGCAGCTTCACAGCCAATGCTGACTCTGGGACCCAATGTCCCTCTCAAGGTAGGGAAGGAAAGGGATTAGGAAGGTCTAATCCAGGTCTTGGTGGTCACGGTGCCATGGGTGGAGGAGAGACTGGGGCCTTTCCATGCTCACTCATGGTCAAGTTGAAATCCATGTTGCTCCATCCCAGTGAGGTGAGAAAGAGCCTGGGGGTTAGGAGAAAATCTGCTCTCAGGTCCTGGGTGGACCTCTTTCTGGTGTTCACTTTTGCCAACTATTTTGTCTTTTGGGGATGTAAATCTCTGTTTCCTCATCAGACCTACCTAAAAAATAGCATCTACCTGTCACCATTGTTGAGAGTATTAATTATTATAATTTCCAAAGGGCCTGTTTCAATAAAAATTGCTCAGTAAACCTGTAAATAGCTGTTATCTAATCCACTGGTCTTTCTGCCAAATATACATTTAGAAAATGACTTCACAGACTATGCCTTCTCTGAGGTAGAGCAATTGTGACGCTCTCTGCTTTCTAGAGGCCCCTCTTCCCTTCCTTTCTCACACATACTCCTCTGCCAGTTTTCTTATTCCTCTTCCCCATCCCTTATGAAGCCAAATCTCCACTATCAGGCACTTTCACTAGTAACCTATGAGGCCCATTCAGTAACGGTGTGAAGTTTGAGCCCAGGAGTCAATCTCATGACATGTTCAGCTCTTTCTTCTCCCTATTTTCTGCTCATTTTGATAACAAAGGGCTACTTTCCCACAGAAACTATTCACATCAGTCTCTTTTTTGAAAATCCATTGAGTTCATCATCTCAGCTCATGTCTACAACCATGTCCTCAATTTCTATCTCACAGAAACCACTTCTGCTCCGATTTCTGTAAAGTCCTGGATCGTGTTCATTCTCACTCTCCATCCCACTCAATGTCACCTCCTGGAGGCTTTAGGGCTGCCTGTTCCTCATCTGTCAGGGGATGTCCACAGTTGAAGAATGAGGGTACCCCTGTCCTCAGGAGTAGGGATGATCACATGAGATAACAAGCATTAACTGTGTCCCTGGAGAGGACACATGGATGGTGCTCAGTGGTTGTCCGGAGATGTGCAGTCCCTTACAGGTGCCATGATAACTTATTTAAACTGATTTCTTCCCACTGGAATCTCCTTTGCTTCTCTATGGATTCTCACATCCCCAGCCAAGACTCACCCCGCTGGCTCACACACACTCTCACTTACTCATGTTCCCTGGAGTCCAGAGCCTGAATCCGGCTCCAGGTGAGAGGAGAGAGTGAATGTTTGTCTTATTCATATTTTCCTTCAGCTGGTGATTTCTCCTGCTTTTTAAAAGGCCATTTGTTTCTCCCACACCTTTTCTTCCTCATTGTTCTCATGCTTCTAACTTTTTTTCTATTTTAATAAACCAGAATAGTGATTAAAATGTTACATTCAATATCTCCAAAATTCCTGCATAATAGGTTTTCATTGGATTATGTACAGATATATAAATTGATGTCATTTATCACATACATTAGGTATATTTTGGGTGTATGCTACATAGGGCGTATATGTATATGCAATGCACCTTATAATGATGCAAGTTTTACAAATTCTCCAGGTTTAGGATTCCCCTGTTCGCTTCTCTCATCAGCTGCTGTAACCTCTGTCTGGTCTCACCTCTGTGTCCCATGGGCTGCCACCTTGCCAGACCCTTCCATCCCCATCTCCTCTTTGGACTCAGCTCTGATTTTACTTTTACTTTTATAATCTCTTCCCTCCCCAAAGCACAGACTACATACAGGGGATTTCCTTGCTTTTGCCTAATCGACCTTGAAGCTATTTGTGTTTCTTAATCCTGTGTTTCTTGAATATTTTTGTAGAGTCAGGAGTGCTGTGGCCTCCTGACAAACTTGTCCGTACTGAGTAATGGAAGAAAGATCAACAAAAAGAAAATATTAAGGTCACTCAATTGGCTTCCCTCACATTTTGGACTATTTTGTCCAAGGCCATATTCCTGATTTGACATCCTTTGGATGGAAGAGAAAGTCACAGTAAGATAATGGATGCCAGTGGATGCCATTGGCTGTCGTTTCGTTTTCAGAACTGGTTTTAGAGCCCTCTGTTGGGATGAAGAACCCTCCCCAACTGGAAGATGATGCACTCGAAGGCTCAGCGGACAACACACAAGGACATGAAGCCACTGAACACATTCATGCCTCAAGTGTTTTGAAATCCAAGATGATTAAAAGAAAGCTCCGGTTCAGCAAGTGGATTCCCTGGTCTTCACGCTTAGGTTGCAGAGGTAATCACATCTGTGACTCTTATCTGCACTCACTTCTTATTTCTCTCTGTCTATGGTGACAGCTCATTTTCTCACTGCTTTTACTCTTCCATTTGTTCTCTCCGGTGGCTGTTGTAACATCTGTCTGGTCTTACCTCTGTATCCCATGGTCTCACCTCTGTATCCCATGGTCTCCCACCCTGCAAGGCCTTTTCTGTCCCCATCTCCTCTTTGCTCTCTGTACTCTGCTCTATTCCTTATTCTGCTGCCTTGAGAGTCCCTCTCATGGCCACAGGAGAACCAGACCTCCTTGTCCTCATCCACGTGCATAGTTTAACCTGCTGAACACGGGTTTCTTTGACTGGAATTGCACACTCTCCTGGGAAATTTACCTTTCCTCCCAGCATCCCAACTCCATTACCTCTTTCTGCAGGGAGCATTGCCTCAATGTATCATTTTCACATAGGTTTTCTTCTTGTGGGGGCTTTGGAGCAACTCCACTAAGTTAACCCTTAATTGTCTCTTGTTCCTCTCAATGAGAAATGTCAAAGCTTAGCATAAGGAGCTCCACTTAGAAAACGAAATTAGAATCTACGTCTCAGGTGGGAGTTCCCTATCACCCTGAAATCAGATTTGTCTTCAGCTCCAGTTGTGCAGCCTCTGCCAAGGTCGATGGAGTTGCCAGGGAATCGGTGTTTTCACCTCATGGACTCATTTGAGCTGACATTAGGGAGGAAGGGAGTTATGGATGGAATATTTAACACAGATGTCAGTGGGTGAGAGAGCTTTCCACTTCTCCCTGGCCCCAATATCAGGTAACTGAACCAAAGGCAGGTGGGACAAATTCATAGCCACCTGAGTACAGGAGCTGTACAGGAGGTATCTGTGAGGCTGCCTATTTCAGTTCCTATGTCTCTTGTCACGTCTAATGATGTAATTTGTACCCCTTCACAATGTTCATGGTGTTTCTATGCTTGCCCAAGGCCACTGGCAACTTTGCCTATGTATTTGGAGATGTTGTTACCCTATTTTACTTTTCTCGGCCTCAGTCTTGGTCTTCTTTCAGTCAGCTTTTCTTAGCTATGCAGTTACCTTGATACAGCATATAAATATAAATATAAATGTAGAATATAAATGTAGAAATATAAATGTCTCTAACAACTCATCAACCAGGATATATGACGAGATAAATCATTATTGTAGCAACACCTCTGAAGGGTAGTTAGAGCCTTTTTAGAAGATCATAGGGGAAAAGTGTGTTTGCACAGACTTAAGTCGGAGGGTATGTGATTAAGATCTAACAGATGAGAGAGATTCCATTTCATGGGTCTGGAAAGCAGGGTCATCTACTTCTGACAAGACTTGATAAGGAGCGCATTAGGACCTTCCTTTCAGAATATCACATTCTTACACTGAAAATATTGATGTCCCTGTTCTATGACTGGACACTGATTTGATCTGGTGAGAAGTGTGATTTGCTTACTGTGACCTGCTCTTCTCAATTTCTTTACAGGAAACCAAAAGGATCATGAGGAAGAGGAAGGGGAAGCACCAGTGCCAACCAGGTAACCATGGATTTGTGGGCTGTTAGCTCAATAGTGACACCTGGAGACCACAAATCCAGGAGAAAATCGGATGGGAAGTGATAAATAGAACAATCTCATCCATCCATCCAACTGCAAATTACCCCATTAACAATGTTGTCTTCTTTATTGTGGTACTTAAATAAGTTAATGCTTCTCAAGCATAGGAACCCACAAACAGTTGAGCCAGGTGAACTGACTAAGCTCAGGGATATCTTGATCTCACCTGATGTCTGCCTCTTTGGCATTACCATGTTTGCAAGGATTTGATAGGATAGGGAACGAAAATAACTAATGTCATTGTCACAGTTATAAGAAAAATGATGTTGAGGATGAAGGAACACTTTCTGTGAAGATTCAAGAACCTGTATTTAATTGGCCTCTGATGCTAGTCTCAACAATATGTATGCAGAAGCGCTGAATGCACTGTGTCCTGGCAGTTTCCCACAGGGATCCCTCCATCTCCTTCCTCCCCAGCTCATTGTCTGCCCAGTGCACTGAGCCCTGCTGCTCTGTTTCCTGCTTGAGACAGGGAAAAATCGTTGTGTCTCTCTGAGGGCACTATATTGGCTTCCTCTGGCCTGTCCTGTGGTCCCCACTATGGAACCAGCTGGGTGCAGTGGTTTTGGTCCTTTCCAGTGTTTATCTTTTGTCTTCTTTACTCCAGGCTGAGCCAGAATCTGCCAGAAGTAAAGGAGCAGGAAGTCCCAGAGGACTCCTTGGATGAAATTTACTTGACTCCTTCAGTTCAACGTGACCTGTCTGACTGCCACCAGCCTTACAGTGGCACCTTGCCCTCATTGGATGATCAGCTCACATGCTCTGCTCTGGATGTAGCCTGTGAGTACTCCAGCCTGAAGCTCACAAAGCTCCAATGTCTTCTCAGGCAGCCTCCACATGTTTTCTTTTTGAAACTTGTGCTGCTGAGACACGCTGTCAATGCAGGCAGGCCATCTACACTGAGCCTGTTTTCAATCTTGCTCTGGGATCCAGTTTTGATCACATAAATCCAGAGGTTGAAACTTCCTCTACTCCTGTCCCAAGAGACTCCTCTATCATCTGGCTCCTTCTTTCAAGAGCAGGCTATGGGCATGAAAGCTGGAAAGGGGTTAGGGCTTTTAACAAGTCTTACCCACAGTAGTTCATCTAGATATATTTGTACAACAAACCTTCTTTTTTAAGGTCTGGAATCTCTCCTTTCTGATATTATGTTCCTACCTACATGCCTTCAATAAGGCAATTATCTCTTCTCTGGCCACCCACACATGTAGGCACTTTTGCACAACCATTTCACTTCAAGGGCACCCTAGCCCTGGAGCCACAGCCCATGCCAGCTTTCCCGGGCACACACAGAAAAGATGACACCACCTGCTTTTACCTCATGTCTGTCTTGTGGCCTAGGTCACAGAAAGATTATAGAGAGAAGCCTGAACAGCAGGGACGGGTGTCTAGGAGCACTTAAGAAGGGAAAACTGAGACCATTCCTACTGAAGCCCTTTCTCCTTTTAGCTCCCACCCAGGAGACCTGTTCCCAAGGGACTTGCCATGAAGACTTGACCTACTACCTGTCAGAGTTGCAGGCTTTACAGACACAGCTGGAACCAAGTACCGGGGTGCCAATTTCTCTTGGACTACACCTGGATCTAGGGTTCGACTGTGGAAATGGCTTAGCCACATTGGGCCTTTCCTCCACCACCTGCAGCTTCACAGCCAATGCTGATTCTGGGACCCAATGTCCCTTTCAAGGTAGGGAAGGAATGGGGTTAGCAAGCTCTAATCCAGGTCTTGGTGGTCTTGGTGCTATGAGTTTAGGAGAGAATGGGTCCTCTTCATGCTCACTCAGGGTCCAGTTGAAATCCATGATGCTCCAACCCAGTGAGGTGAGAACGAGCCTGGAGCTTAGGACAAAATCTGCTCTCAGGTCCTGGGTTTGCCACTTTCTGGTGGTTCACCTTCGCCAAAGATTTTGTCTTTTGGGGATGTAAATCACTGTTTCCTCAATGGAGTTCCCTAAAACATAGTATCTACTTATAATCATTGTTGAGAGTATTAATTGTTATAATTTCCAAATGGCCTGATTCATTAACAATTGCTCAATAAACCTATAAATAGGTGTTATCTAATCTATTTGTCTTTCTGCCAAATATACATTTAGAAAATGACTTCACAGGCTATGCCTTCTCTGAGGTAGAGCAATTGTGACGCTCTGTTTTCTATAGACCCCTCTTCCCTTCCTTTCTCACACATACTCCTCTGCCAGTTTTCTTCCTCTTCTTCCCCATCCCTCATGAAGCCAAATCTCCACTATCAGGCACTTTCAGTGACAACCTATGAGGTCTATTCAGTTATAGTGTAAATCCTGGGCCCCCAATTCAGTCTCCTGACATGTCCAGCTCCTTCTTCTCACTATTTTCTGCAGTTTTTGAAAACAAAGGGCAAATCCCACATGGAAAGTATTCACATCAGTCTCTTTAATGAAAATTTGTTTAGTTCATCATCTCTGATCATGTCCATGGCCGTGTCTTCAGTTTCCATCTCACAGAAACCACTTCTGCTCAGATTTCCTTAAAACCCTGGGTAGTGTTCATTGTCACTCTCTGTTCCTCTCAATATCTCCTCCTGGAGCCCCTTGGGCTGCCTCATGCTGATTTGTCAAGTCATACCCTCAGCAGAGGAATGAGGGGAACCCTGTCCTCAGGAGGAGGTAGGGTCACTTGAGTAAATGAGCACTATATGGGCCCATGGAGAGGACACATAGAAATGGCTCAGCAGGTGTCAGGGGATGCGCAGTCCCTGAAACATGCCATTAAAACTTATTTAAACTCTTTTCTTCCCACTGGAATCTCCTTTGCTTCTCTATGGATTCTCACAACCCCAGCCAAGAGTAACCTCATTGGCTCAGACACAGCCTATCCTACTCACATTCCCTGGAGTCCAGAGCCTGATCAGTCTCCAGGTGAGAGGACAGAGTGAATGCTTTTGTCTCATTCATATTTTCCTTCCCCTGTTGATTTCTCCTGCGGTCTAAAGATCATTTGCTTTTCCCACACCTTTTGTTTCTCATTCTTCTCATGTTGATATTTTTTTTTTCCAATTTGAATGGACCAGAATAGTGATTATAATATTATATTTAGCATTTCCCAAAACTCTATATAAGATTTTTATTAGATTAATATGTAAAGATATATGCATTGATGTAATTTATCTCATATATTATGTATATTTTGTGTGTATGCTACATAGGATGTATATATATATATATATATATATATATGTAAATATATATGCAATAAATCATATAATAATGAAACTTTTGTAAATCATCCAGGTTTAGGATTCCCCCGTTCGCTTCTCTCATCAGCTGCTGTAACCTCTGTCTGGTCTCACCTCGGTGTCCCATAGACTTCCACCCTACCATGCCCTTCCATTCCCATCTCCTGTTTGAACTCCGCTCTGATTTAACTTTCACTTTTATAATTTCTTCTCTCCCCAAAGCACAGACTACATACAGGGGGATTTCCGTGCTTTTGCCTTATCTACCTGGATGCTGTTTCTATTTCTTAATCTTGTGTTTCTTTAATATTTTTGTGAATCAGGAGTGTCTTGGCCTCCAGACAAACTTGTTTTTACTGAGTAATGGAAGAAAGATCAACAAAAAAGAAAATATTGAAGTCATTCTATTGGCTTCCCATCACACTTCGGACTTTCTTGTCCAAGGCCACATTCCTGATTTCATGTCCTTTGGGTGGAAGAAAAGTCATAGTAAGATCATGGATGCCAGTGGATGTCATTGGCTGTTTTTTAATTTTCAGAGCTGGATTTAGAGCCCTCTGTTGGGACGAAGAACCCCCTGCAGCTAGAAGGCGATGCAGTTGAAGGCTCAGTAGACAACACACAAGAGCATCAAGTCACTGGACACATTCATGCCTCAAGTGTCCTGAAACCAAAGTCTATTAAAAGAAAACTCCGGTTCAGCAAGTGGATTCCCCGGCCTTCATGCTTAGGGTGCAGAGGTAATCCCATCTATGACCCTTAGCTGCACTCACTTTTTCTTTCTCTCTGTCGATGGTGGCAGCTTTTCCTCTCAATGCATTTCCTCTTCCATATGTTCTCTCCAGTGTCTGCTATAACCTCTGTCTTGTCTTCCCTCTGGGTGGCACCTCCCCTAACCACCAGGCCTTTTCTGTCCCCATCTCCTCTTTGCTCCCTGAACTGTTGTATTCCTTCTCCTTCTGCTGTCTTGAGAGTTTCTCTCATGACCACAGGAGTGCCAGGCCTCATTGTCTTCATCCAACTGCATAGTTTCAGCAGCTGAACACAGGGTTTTTTGCTGGCATTTCACAGTCTCTTGGGAAATTTACCTTTCCTCCCTACATCCCCAACTCCATTATCTCTTTCTGCAGAAAGCATTGCTTTCATACATCATTTACACTTAGGCTTTTCTCTTGATTCGGATTTTGGGCAACCCAACTGATTCAACCCTTAATCTTCCCTTGTTCCTCTGAATGAGAAGTGTTGAAAGTGAGCACAAAGAGCCCCACTTAGAAAACTAAACTAGAACGAGGTGGGAGTTAGCTACTGGCCAGGAGTCAGGTTTGTCTTCAGCTCCAGGTCTGAAGACTTGTGCCAATGTAGATGGAGTTGTCATGGATTCAGTGTTCTCAGCTCATGGACTCATTTGCGCTGACATTAACTGGAGGACACTTACGACATTATAAATGGACATCACTTCAAAAGTACATGGAGAGTGCAGGACTTCAAAACTGCATACATCGTGAGGTACATCATTCTAACCTCTCTCCTTTTTATTCTCATTTCCACTACTACACGTCCAGTTAATGGTCCAAATACAACTGAGATGAATCTTGAGGCCAGCTTACATGAGATAGCATTTTCTGAATTAACTTTGAGAAAAGTGACTCCACGGCCAGCTTTATGTATGCACAAGATGACAGGCAAGAATCTATCCACAGGACAGCCTTTGCTTTGGCCCAGTTCAGTGGATAAGACAGAGATTTCACTGAAGTTGTCAGAGAAAAGACTAAAATCCATGGAACCACTGGGAACAAAGGCAATCATGAGATAAGCATCGAAAGGAAAGAAAATGATGGGAAATTGGGTTGTTCTATTTAGTATCTCTATCTCATGCTGCCATGTAATAATCACCTGGTGAGATTTCAATTAAGATGAATGACTTGATGTCACACCTTGAGATTCTCACTCCCATGGCCTGGGGTGTGGTTTGGGTGTGTGTAGTTTTAAAACAGTCCCATGTGACTCTAACCTGTGGCTAAGGATAAGAAGGACCACTGGTCTTCTATGATCTCAGGTGACCAACATGGAAGTGCCCCATGTGCGCAGCTACTCCAAAGGGTGAGCCTCCGTCAGCCTTCGATGGGACCTATATTCCCCTCTCAACAGCACTGTTTGTATAGCATAGAAAAAAATCAAGAAGAAAAACAAGAAAATAGATTAGACCTTTAGCCTCTGCTTGAAGCTCACTTGCTCAATTTTGAATACAAGATAAGGTGAGAAATAATCATTGCATTAACATCTAATGTACAGAAATAATATCTCCCATATTACATATAGTGGAATTTAGTATTTTCTTTGCAGTTTAAAATAAAACTTCCAGTTTACATTTAACCACACAGATTTTACAGTCCAGTAATTGGCTCAGCACTGCAACGTGAACATTTTACTTTCAGTCAGTTATTGTCCTTCTGCGAAGCCCTGATAGAGAACTTACTGGTCTCACTCTCCTGAAGAGAATGCAATAAGGAATCAAGACTGAAATTTTGCTATAGCTCTTATATGAATATTTGTTTATGACACTCTTGACACTGACATTAAATATTAAAAAGTAACTTTCCTCAAAATGTACTTTGAAAAAACAGTGAGTGGGTGGGGAGAGTTTAGTAAAACACAAACTAATCCTTTTCACTTTGTACTTCAGAGTTTTGTTGGTCTAGATATTGAGAAGATTTCTAGAAATCCCGTAAGGTGTAACCAGTTGTGGAATCAACTTCCAGGCATTAGGGAAAAGAAGTAGGATCATAATTACACTCACTGCTCTCTCTTTACTATCTCTGTTTTGAGTGTCTTCTTTTCTTTTAATTTTCTTTCTTTCCTGATCTTCTTTGAAAAATACTTACAAATATATTAGTTTTTTCTTTAAAAAATTATTTTAACTAACCCAACAAGCACCACAGACATCATATTTCTTATATTTTTTGTAAAACCTTATTCCTGTCATAGCCAAGTTCACCCAACAGCATCTCATGACTGTTGAGACCTCCAGATTGGAGCCTTTCCTCTCTCTTCCTCCAATATTTATTGAAAGGGCCTTAGTTCGTGGGTTCTAATTAGTGGGTTTTCAATAACAAGTCATGTGTCCTTAGTCCAATCACATCCGAGTGGCATCACTATACCTCTGTTTTAAAGGCTGGTAGTGGACGTGGATGTTGTCTGAGCTTCCTGCTGCTTCTTATATCCAGAGTTCCTCCCATGGCCTCCTGCGCCTCCCTAGAAGACTGGGACATGGAGTTTAAGGGAGTTGGTTTCTCTGCAGAGGATCTTCCTTTTCTGCAGCCCTCTGTCTGGATATGTATGATAGATGAGGAGCACTTCCTCACTGGGAGGAAAAGCCAACACTCTCCACCAGACAGAGGGGATCTGGAGGAAAGGGGCTGATGTTCCCGGTTGCCTGTTGGGCATTGGCAGTGTCCCTATATCCTGCACCACAGGCTGACTGGAAGTTCAGGGAAATTCACTGGTGTTTTCTTCTCACTTGTGAATGGTGCTTCCCCTTTCAGCCAGCCCAACCCACACCCTTAGGAGATCAGTTTGCCCCTGGGATATCACCACTTAACAAACCCTCTAAATTCAGCCTTCAAAAGGACCTGACAGAAATGCTGATTTCATTATTTTCTCTCCCTCTCCTACAGGTACTAAATACTACCAGAAGGATGGAAAGGAAGAAAGGATGCCAAAAAAGTGGCTTTTCCAATTGATGAGAAAAAACTAAGACAGCAAAGCAAGTTCAAGTCCAAATACAATGACCCTACAGGGAACCTTCACAGAGGATTGAATTTTAGACCACAGAATGCTCTTGCTGATTTCAACCCACCAGGGTCCTTTGATTTGAGAAGTCACAGTCTATCCTAGTCCAATTGTGATCAATACCTAGGGAGACCAATTCTCAGATGGACACACAGCATTGACAGGCCTTAGCCCTGCTCCTCTCAATTTCCATCCTGTATAGAACAGAAGTCCAGAGCAGCTGAGATGAGACAGCATGTCACCTGGGACTCTGCCAGGGTAGAGTATGAACAGTGCCATGTTCTTGCTGAAAATGTTTAGCCTGAATTTCATAGGAGGTAATCCTCAGACAATTGCAGAAGGTAGAACATTGAACAGGACAACTGACCTGTCTCCTTCAAGTAGTCCATGTTACCTCCAAGAACACAACAAAAAGGCGAAGAGACATTTTGGGTTCAAAAAGAGTAAAAACTATGTAGCTTATCATTTTTAGTCATTTTGAACCCCAAACATCGCTTCCTCTTTTGGTCGTTGTCATTGATGGTGGTGACATGGACTTGTTTGTAGAGGACAGGTCAGCTGTCTGGCTGAAAGCTCTGCATTCAGAAGTCGCCTGAAAATGTCCTCATGATTAAATTCAGCCTAAACATTTTGCAAGGAACACTGCAGAGTCATGCTGTGAGCTTCCTCCCTCAGCCCATCTGCAGGCAGAGAAAACCCAGTGTCTTCATCCTCATTATTGTGATACTAGGACGTTCACTTGGTTAAGGAGGGGGTCTATCAGCTCTGTCCCTTTTAAAGACACCTTATTTATAATTTGAAAGTGGTTTGAAACAGCACGAATGTCCTGTATTTTGACAATCTCCCTCTGAGCAATTTATCATCATGTATTCACCCCTGCAGGGGTCAGTTATTATATTTATATTTTTACATTGGAAATTGTCTATCTCACAATTTTACTGTATACTTGTTTTTGCTGGCATTCTTTGTAAAAAAAAAAAAAAAAAAAAAAAAAAAAAAACTATGTACTCCCTGCTCAAATTTTAACTTTCATCCAGAGTTAACTTTAATTTGTTATTGCTGCCATTCTGCTGTGATAAAAAATATTCTCTGTCACAAATTTAACTTTTATCTGCTGGGCATCCACGCATCATTCCACCACATGCCACTCTTGTCTTTGCTGTGGAGCTTCTAAAACTGGAATGGCAGGAATGGCCTCCTTCCTTAGCTCCCTGTTCTTGGGTCTGCTATGGAGGGATCCTGGTGCCTCCAGATGTGTGCACATGAATCCATATGGAGCTTTTCCTGATGTTCCACTACACTCTGTATAGACATTAATTTTAGTTTATTAGTTAAAATGTTTAAGTTTTAAATCTAATTAAATTTTTTTGTCTGTCACCTGGACTACTGGATTTTTTACATAAAGTGCTTTAAGGTTTTATTGTTATGATTGGTTTTGGCAGATAAGAATATAGGTTAAGGAAAACATTCTTATTTCCCTGTTTGCATTCTAAACTCTTCCATATTTTAGCCTATATTTACAATATGTGGTAGATTGTATTTACTGTATTTCTTTGCTTATGTTACTTGTTTTCTCTTTGTGTTTGTGTGTATTTGTGTGCCTTTTGTTTGTTACTTAGGAAGGGTTGTATAGCTCCTGTTTAACATTGCACTAAAAATTTTGACATCACTAATCACCTTTTACGTTGATACACTTCTACTATTTGATTTATAAGTTTTAAATTACATCTTTCAACTTTAAAATTGTACCACTATGACAATCAAAGACATTATTTTCCTCTTCTCTAACATCTTTACTTGCCATTTCTTATTTGTTATTTCAACCCAAACATAAAGTGACAGCCTTTGTGCCCCACCTGTCCCCACCTTGGTTTTGGATTTAGATCTACAATTAAATACATTGATGCACGTGCTGTTCAAAAGCGTATCCGAAGCATCACTTGTTGACTGGTATTTATCCTTAACAGAGGCCTC